CCAGGTGTAGTGTTGGCTGATGTTAGTTCTGTGCGAGTCTCGCCAGGATGCATCAGCAACCATGTACCATTCAACAGCTTCTTCTGCATAGTTTAGGTACGACGATTTTTCGTCCTTAACACTAAGTCGTAGACTTATCCCCTCTGGGAAAGATTGCTTCTTGTAGTCGTTTGGCTTGTCCCGAGGAGTTTCTTGATATCGTTGTCGTCTTTCTGACGATGTTCGATCTCGGGGAACGAGAGAGGGAACTCGCTAGGGAAGTCCTCTTCGTCTGCAGCACATGAGTCAGCGATCTCGCTGGCGTCCATCTGTTCTGAAGAACCGTCGTTGTTGGAGATGTTAAGTCTCGACAACGCATCGGCGACGATGTTCTGTTCGCCCTTGATGTACCTAGTTCAGGGCCGTATTCTCCAGATAAGGCGCCATCGCATTACGCGATCGGTATGAAGTTCTTACATGTAAGTTTCTTGTGGTCCGTATGTACAACGATCTTCTGTCCAGAAGAATGTTACGGAACTCTTTAAGAGTTTCTACGATACTGAGAAAGTTCCTTCTCGTAACGTGTAACGTGTGAGCAGGTTGAGTTCCTCTGTAGAAACGCGATAGGTTTCCCCTTCTGGGAAATTACTGCACCTGTTGAGTATCACTCGCAGCGTGTGGATACGAATTTTCGTTGAAGTCAGGGTAGCGAGCAAGGTTTCTTTGCTGATGATTTCTTCACTGGCTAAAGGCCTTGTCTGTTCCGCTTCCATTTCCACTTCGTTGTTTTGGAAGTACAACGAAGCGAGTGGGTCAGTACATGTGATCGTCTAATCCACATGTCTGATAGTAGTTCATAGTCCAATGAATCTACGGAGTTCTTTTCTGTTGGTAGAGGGCGATATTCTGGATCGCGTCTATTTTCTTGTTATGGTTGGATCCCTTCTCGAGTAATCCAGTAACCTAGGTATTCAGTTCTCCTCTTGGAAGAAGGACTTGGTAGCATTGATCTTAAGTCCGGCTTCTCGAAGCCTTCGGAGAACTTCATCCAACTTTTCAACGTGATCTGCTAGGTCGCCGTTAGTTAGATGAGTAGATCATCAATGTATGCACGGACGTATTCTAGGTCGTGCATTATGTTCCCATCTTCTCTTGGAGATGTCGGGACTATTACATAGGCCATTGGTAACCTCTGGTACTCGTACTTTCCCCACGGGAGTACGATGGTACAGAGTTGCTTCGAGTGAGGTGACAGCTCGATGTGATAGTATCCCATGTTCAGGTCTTAGACTAGTAGCGTACTTGAATCCGTCTAGATTCAAGAGCATGTCCTGTATTTTTGGGATAGGATAAGGCTTCCGCTTAATCCTTTTGTTCAGTTCCCGGAAATCAGAGATGAATCGTACAGATCCATCTTTCTTGGGAATGATGAAAGTTGGTGCCGCCCACTCGGAACGGTTTACTTCTTGAGTACTCCTGATCGCAGAGACGGAAAGGACTGCGCAAGACTGTGCAGGCCGTATGTCAGCGTTGCCAAAGCTGCCAGATGAACAAACCCAAGACGCGTAAGCTGGGATTGATGCCTCCAAAGACTTGCGAGGAGATCCCTTGGGAAAGACTATGTATTGACCTGATAGGTCCTTACAACGTCGGGGATCCTAAGAAAAAGAATTCCTGCACACTTCATTGCTTGACAATGATTGATCCCGTAACCGGATGGTTCGAGATTGCAGAGATCTGCTCCAAGGCAGCAGACGAAGTAGCCATCGTCCTAGAACAAACGTGGCTTACTCGGTATCCATGGCCTGCTGAGGTTATCATGGATAGAGGACGCGAGTTCCGCGCAGAGGTCGAAAAGACACTCCGGGATGAATACGGACTTCGTCGCAAGTTCATCACTACGCGCAACCCTCAAGCCAACTCTATGGTCGAGCGTGCTCATCAAACCATACGTAACTTGATCGCTGTTCAAAACATCAAGTGCCAAGACGACCTCGTGAATGGATCCTGGGATGGAGTCCTCACGGCGGTTCGCTTTGCAATGAATGCCACGATTCATACCACCTTGCGCGCAACGCCCGCACAGCTCGTGTTCAATCGTGACGCGATTCACAACGTCCGGTTCGAAGCCAACTGGAAGTACATTAAGGAACGTCGCCAACGACTAATCCAACAAAACAACGACAGGGAAAACGCGACGCGTGTCCCTCATCAATACAAGGCAATGTCAACGATACCGTGATGATTCAACAGTATCAGCACCGCAAGTACGGTCAGCCAAAGTACAAAGGTCCTTACACTAATGACAATGGCACTGTACGGCTCCAACATGCTACCGCCAACGGCGGCACAGTCTACCAGACTTGGAACATAAGGTATATACACCCATACAAGGCCTGATCCCCTTGTAGGATTGCCATCGTGCGACGCACATGTCTACATCCAAATCTCATGAGAGTGCCCCGCACTTTAAATCATATGTTCTCCTTGTCCGACTGCTGTCGCGCCTTCTGTGACCCTTGTCAGGGGGCGAATGCAATACACGGCTCTTAGCCTTATTCGCGACTCGATCCTAGATAGGGTTTGAGTTCGACTCATGACTGAGTCTCTCGTGAATAGTCATTTGAGACAGGGTTCTCAATGACCGCGCTAGTCATACTAGGTTGATGATGAAACATCGCTCTAGATATTTAGCCAGCGTGGAGTACTTCCACGCTACTAGATCCAGGCTAGACAAACCTTCCACGCGTTCCGTTTTAGGATCGTGGAGAGACGTAGGATTACTACCGCAACCTACTCTATCACACTTCATAGTCTCCCGCGGGAAGCCAGATCTACGATCCCTTGATGATGATCTCTCTCGTTGATTAGTTTTCATAGCTTTCTAATCTCTCTCATAACTTTCATTCTCTCAAACTCAAAACACTCGAAAGATCTTTACACTAGCTTTTAGCGTAGTGCACTTTGTTAGCACTTGGCTTATCATTACTCCCTTTGGAGCCAGAGGGAGCTGCCTTCCTTTTGTCAGTTCGAGGAATCATATCAACTAAATTTATGTGAGATTATCCTAGAATCTGGATTGATGGCTGTTGGGGAGCGATGGCTGTTGGGGAGAGATGGCTGTTGGGGAGCGATGGCTGTTGGGGAAGATGAGCACTTGTTTGTACTGGCTACATATTTAAACTTGAATCTGTCTGAAGGACAAGTTCTAATTATATATATAGCACATACAACAGTCATGTATATAGCATCTCCAACAGTTTGCAGTAGAGCTAATTGAGGTTACAGATTACAATAGATTTGAATAGTACAAGTGGGCGAGTGGGCGAAGCAAGTGAGGTGAAGCTGAGTTGGTATTCCTCACAAATAAAGATGTCAGAAATAGCAAAGGAATTTAATGAGGCTGTTCAATCTGTTCTTCACTATGATGAAGACACACAAACTATCAGTGGAAAAGTGTGTATTATTTGTGACAAATTACTAAAGCGCAAGGATGTAAGGAAAATTGGACTTAATACTCTAGTAAAATACAGTAAATATTTCCATGGGGACAGTGAATTGCCTATAAGTCTTCGAAACTGTTATAAGTTCACCGACCCGGATGACAGACCAGGAGTCAATTCAGAACTGTCTCAGTGTCTTCTGTCACCCAGAAGTAAGATTGTATACAATGGCAACAGTGCTAATAGGAAACGAAAGCGGTATCCATATATGCTTTGTTGTGGAGACTGCCGATCAGGTCTCAGCATCAAAAAGCTAAAGAATGGAGAGCTACCTCGTTTTGCCATAGCAAATGGCATGACAATTGGAACAGCTCCACACTGTTTAAAACGACTCAATGAGATTGAACTTGCCCTGTTGTCACAAGCACGGTTCAGAGGACACCTGTTTGCCCTGTGGGGTGGGTCCCATCGCAGCATCAAGGGATGGCACAGCTTCTATCAAGTGGATCCTGGGCACACAACGGCAGTACTGCAGGCTGTAAGGCAGCTCACGGATTCTAACAATATTGCAGTTGTACTTTCAGGTCCATTCACTTCAGACCAAAAAGAAAGGGTACTACAGAAAATGCAAGTAAATGTTGAGTGGGTGGAAGAGGCATTTTTGTGGCTCAAAGAGAACAATCGACTATACAAGCATTTGGAGATGCCAACAGTGAGCGAACCCACTCTTATTGACAACTCCCACAGTGTGGAGTCAGAAAACTCAGACATTGAAATCAAGGAGGAGATTAAGGTGATCTTCCCTGATGCAACAATTCGAACTGCTGGCTGCTCCGATGGGGCTGAGTTTGACAAAGCTATTGCTGAAATAAGATCCAAGTGTGCTGGAGTATTGCCTTATCTGACATCACGGCCTTCGTCCAAGTTGCTGAGAGACTATGAAGATGAAAATCTGATGCGTGCATACCCTTTGCAGTTTCCCTATGGATTTGGGTATCATGAAGACTTCAACATCAAAGCCTCACAGAATGGGTATCTGAGCCATCTCCTGTCCTTGTCCACCCCAACAATGCATCAAGCATGCTTTGTTTTAGCAGTGCACAACATGTTTGAGAGATGCAAAGCTCTGAACGGAGCAGTATGGCGAGTAATGGGTGGCAGGGAAAAATGTGATGTGAGCGAGGAGGAGTTGAATGCAGCCATTGCCAGTAAGCTAAATGGACTTCCCCCTGATAATGGTCCAGGTAGCCATTTTCTAGAATCTGTCCATTGTGTAAAAAGAAATATGGCACACACCAATGCAGCAGCATCGTCAGCTCAAGCAAAATTTTTAACATTAACTCACCATTATGGCTGCCCCAAAGTTCTTTTCACTGTATCTTTTGATGGCTCATTGGACATAAGGATTTTAGCTTGGTCCCAGGAAGAGGACACTTTGAATTGGATCGCCTCCATGGACCATATGTCACCAGAAGAGGTGGCAACTGAAATGGACAAATGTAATGCCATTCGATTTAAATATCCTGGTTTGTGTGCTTGGAACTTTGACGAGCTCATTGATATTGTTCTGGACAAAATAGTGGGTGACAATTCACTGAAGATGGGGCTGTTTGGAACTCTCATTGCTTATGGACTTGCAGTTGAAGAACAGGGCAGAAATACCCTGCATGGACATATTTTGGTGTATACCGCAGAATGGAACAATATTCTCATAGCTTTGAACTCCTCCAGTCAACGAGTTAGAAAGGCAGCTGAAAAGGAAGTTCTCTTATTTGTGGATCATGTGATCTCAACAGAATTGGTACCAAATGCACCATGGCAAGGAGACTATTGCCCCACATGCAACAATAGCCTGCTTACTTATGTGGATGAACAGAAATTGAGAAACCTGAGACACAAGGTCGGCTGCCAGGTGGAAAAGGGAATTATTGCCTCCTGCCCCCTTTGCAAAGCTATGAAGCGAGTCTTACCAAAAGAACTCTGGAGTGTGGCAGAAGCAGAAAGGAAAGCACAGGTGGCTTTGGGTGTTCTCAGGAACACAACTCCAACTGCAGCATCCGTTTCTTCTGAAGAGACCGTTGCTATCAATAACTACAAGTACAACCACCACCTTAGCAAACACACAAAGACCTGTTTCAAGAAGGGTGATGAAGGCCGATGCAATCTTCCTGATCTTCCAGAACCACTCTCCAATATTGTGTACAGTAAAGTTGAGTATGACACTTTCAATTGGAGGGGTGCAAACCAAAGTCAGCATAACATCACTATCAGGCCAAGACGCCTTTTGCAAGATGCTTCTACTAACTCTTACTGCATCCCAATTTCCACTTGTAAGTGTCCAGCCAACTCCAACGTGCAAGTGACTACTGGTGCAAGATCTGCAATCTACTGCACTTGCTATGCGGCAAAGGGCACCCAAAAAGAAGATACTGGAGAACTTAAGAAAATGGGTTCTTATGTGGCTCACAGATTTCTGGAAGAACATAAAGAGAATACACTATTTGAGGGATTGTCTCGTTTAATGGGTACAGTTATTGTGGCAACAAGTGAACATGTAGTAGCTGCTCCTATGGCTGCCTACCTGGTTAGAAACCATTCGAGATTCAAGTGGTCACACAGCTTCAAGTATATTCCAATTAGGGAAATTGTCGACCTTCTCATCCAAAGAACCTCTGTGGAAACAATGAGAATGTCAGTTATGGATCATGAGAAAGGCTGTTTCTTAACCAGTGAAGCTTTGCATTATCTGCAACGTCCCAAGAAAAAGTTTGAGACTTATTGCCTTGTCGATTTTTTCCAGGAGTATGAACTTGTCAGAACGGATAAGCCAAATGAAACTGATGAAGCTGATGGAACGTTCACAATTGATGATACAGAACATCCTGGCTATAAGAAACAAATTATAAAGGAGAGAAAAGAGCCTGTTCTAGCTCAGTTCTCCCATTGGGCCTTTCCTGATGCAGCCTCGTTTGGAGGTGACATTTTGGAAATGAACCAGTATCCTGTGCCTACCAGTGTAGAGAACTACTGCCGCACTATACTGGTGCTGTACCATCCATTCAGGACTCTACAGGATCTCACCATTGATGGTTCTTTTCATAAGATGTTTACAAGATTGTACCACGATGGAGTCCCCGATCACATAAGGGAGCTTTTATCTAATGTACAAATGTTTTACAACAGTGTGCGCATGCCAGCAAAGGAGGACCCTCTGAAACACTGTACAGAACAATTTGAGGCGCCAAATTCAAATCACCCAGTATCTGAAGACGAGGAAGAAGACGATGACAATTTTTTTGATGGTGTCTTCAATCTGATGTCACCTCAACCTACAACAACGACAACATCAAATGATTTACAGATGAAAGTGTCACTTAACAACTTACGGAGGGCTGGAGGCAGGGGATGTGGATTTAATAACTTGCCTCAAACTGATGAGTGCACTTCGTTTTTAAGAGATTCCCAGAGACCAACCAGACATTCTACAAGTGGTATTCCCAGCCAATTCATCTCGTCTGTAACATCATGTGGTAATCACACTTCAAGCTACAATCAATCCAATGGTCTTACACTACGTGACAAACCTACCCCATACCAGCTTATGGAGCTTACCTACCGCAATACAAGAAGAAGACTGACTGAGCAGGAAGAAGAATCTAGATTACCTGAGAACTCTGTGGAAGCAAATGGCACATGCTTATCCATTATCCAATGGTCCCTCCGACCTGACATTAGCTTAGACAAAGAACAACAGCTTGCTTTTCAGATAGTCACAGCAGCATTCATACTTACGTACTATCAAGATGCAGAAACCCTTGATCCCTCTGTTTATATGACATGCTCCAATAATCCAAGCCAAATTAGACGCGACTTCAAAGAAGAGAAGGGTAAACTTCAAAGAATGTCCAGGGTACGGCATAATCAGCTAATAATGTTTCTTGATGGGGCAGGAGGAGCTGGCAAGAGTCGGGTGGTTCAAGAGCTTTTGAAGTATGCCCAAGAATTCACCACTAGATTGGGTTTAAGATTTGACATGCGCACCATTGTTGTCAGTGCTATGTCAGGAGTTGCAGCTGTTTCCATAGGAGGGGAGACAACTCATTCTGTAGCTGCTTTTTACAGAAACATAGATGAGCAGGACACTTCTTGGACCAATGCTCGATTGCTGATTATTGATGAAGTTTCTTTTATGTCTACCTCTGAGGTGGACCTTCTAGATGAAAAGAAGCTTAGATGTCTTATGAGGAAGTACAACAGTCTTTACGGTGGAATTCACATTCTCTTTTGTGGAGACTTTAGGTAAGCTAAACAATGGTAGGCCACTTCCTACTGCTTCGATTCACTCATTTATTGATTGCCTTGCCCCATAGACAACTGGAGCCTGTGAAAGGAAGTCCATTGTACTCTCCTTTTCACAGCGACAAGAAGTGGATCAATTCCATTAATTGTTACATTGAACTTTTGGGGCTTCACAGATTTAGCAAAGATCCAGAATGGGGACTCATTTTGTCAAGATTGCGAAATGACACCTACACACAACATGATATTGATGCAATCAATGAGTCCTGTATTAAAGTCGCACCCAGAACTATTCCTGCAGATGTATCTTACTGTGTCTACACAAATGCAGACCGAACTGCCATCAATGCTGGTATGTTCTCTAATGTATTAAAAGCACACTGGCAGAAACATGACGTTCTTCCCAATCACATGGTGGCAATAACTGCTGGACATATGGTTCGAGTGAACAAATCAAAGAAAAAAATCCCCCTTGGAGAACAGGACAAACAGTACATTTATGAGAATTGTGGGGACCACAGAGTTAGAGCAACAATTCGGGGTCGTAGGGGAGGTCACTTTGTTGACCCAATGCTGAAACTTTATCACCATATTCCCTTGATGTTTGTGTCAAATGATGATGTCGCCAATGGTCATGCCAATGGAACAAGAGTTTTTCTGGAGGCTGTGATTACTGTTGTTTGCTAGTAAGCAATACTGCAGCTTATTGGGGAGTAATTTGGTTTTAGATTAAGCTGAAAAGCAAAAGTGAGGATTTTCTGGTGGTGCATAGCAATTCTTGTGATTGAATTGGATATAAGGACCCCCGTAACACTTTAGACCTAAAACTCCCTTGGTTCCTTGCATGATGAATTTGCATGCGAACTGGACTAGATGATTAATACACGAGTCAATAGTAAAGAGATGTCAGGTATATTTCCTCCAACACACTCCTGCACAGTGCCCTAAGTGGCTACCGTGGAACGAATAAATAATTTAGGAAATCAAACAAGGGGTGGATGCCCCATGATGAAAGCCCTGTGCTCATGGAAGAGCTTGCCCTGAAGGGGCTTCGTGAAAAAGTCTCCACGCATCTCCAAGGTTGGGCAGTACACAACTCTGAGGTTTGCTTTTCCAATCTGATCATGAATGAAAAAGAAACGAATGTTGATGGCCCGAGTCCTTTTGCCCGAACTGCCTTTGCCATTCTCTGCAAGGATGATCGTGCTTTTGTTGTCCTGCATGAGGATGTTGTCCTTCACAACGATCCCCTGCTCTTCAAGGAACAACTTTGCCCACAACATGGGCGACATGACATCGTCAGCTCCAATCAATTCCACTTCCGTGCTGCTCCTCGAATTCAATTTCTGTTTCGCAGACACAGACAGCACCGCGCCACTTCCAAAGGACATGACTCCTCCTGTATGGGAACGGTAATCAGGATGGACTGCAAATGATGCATCCACCCACCAAGTGATGATGCGTATGTCATCATGTGTAGGATCAACTTGTCTCCGCGTCTGATCCAAAAACTTGAGGCCTTGGACCAACTTGTCCCAATCATCAGATGTTGGGCTTTTGACACGATGCATAACACAGTAGTGAGAGTCTGCACATCTGGTCGAGCACGCTTGCACAGAAACAACAGCTTGGCTGCAAAGGTATATAAGTCTCCCTGTTTTTGTCATTCAGGTGGTTCCATCACCAGAGCTGATAGGTCAGCAGGAGCTGACTTGTACCTTTTTCATTGCCCAAAGTCCACTGGAAACTCTGAGACCATTTTCTTGACATAGTCTATCATGTCAATCACAACCTTTCCTGGGTCGGAAAAGTCCACCGTCATCCCCAAGTAGTCATGCTTGGGACCACGGGTTGCCTTCACGGCTCCATAGGTACCGTACTTGTCATTGAACCACTCCAGGGTTCGATTGTTTACCAGTTTCATCCGGTGGCTCGACATCAGGTCGTCACATGGAAGCGTATCGTCTGCTGATATCCTTCAATCATCCTGTTGGCAACACACGGACATCTAAGAAGCGCATAATGGGGTCTCGCGAAAACAGCGAGGTCTGGAAGGTACCGAACGACATGCGTCCTAGGCGATTGGTGACGTCATTGCTCCGGATTTGGATGGTGTTTGTTGTGGAACATGTACTGGGTCTCCATTGGGTGTGGCAGTATGACCGTTTTGGAACCCTGCATGCATCCTAAATTCCCAACCCCATAGGTACGACCAATTTTGTGGTCCCGTTTTGTCCCCTATGCCATACAAATGAACATGGAAACTACATACAGAATCCGGTACAGAGCGGTTTGGGGGTTAGTTTTGGTAACCACACTCACATTTTGTAAGGTCGTGTAGACTTTGCCTAAGTTATTACAGTTCCTTTATACGGGCTACGATCGGCAATTACTACTAGGCTAGCTACACTACTAGTTGTATCATGGGTAATTGGTATTGCACTACTGTAAAGCTTGGTTTGAAAGCAAGAGGGCACTAAGTGCTCACACAACCAATCTCGAGTTGCATTGCAGCAAGGCAGTTTTCACTTGGCATTGGCAAGCAACAAGAAGTACTAGACTAGGAGAAAAAGGGACAGACTACTGCAGGGCTTGGTGCACTGACACGAGGAAGACCCGCTAAAGCACCAGGCAAGTTAGAAGATCTGCAGAGAGGAGAGAGGCACATCAGTCAAATGCCAGCCATTCACAAGACATGGTGGAGGAAGATCAATTTGCTTGGGCCATGCAAGTGTGTTGGTGGTATTGGTTCTGAAGCGAGGAAGACAATAGAAAACAGCAGCTGACCCGCGGTTGGGTACCCGAGATGACGGCAATGAGGAAGCAAAAAGGAGGCAGATGAGGAAGCCATAGAGGCAACTGAGAGGAAGAAGTGACGACGATTCGCAAGAAGACACAGATGATGTGTGATAGTAATGAAGATGATGATGAGACCAGCAGTGGTGGATAACAGCTACCCTGGTACAAATTCCCAAGGAATGGAACCATGACAATGAACCTCCGACGATAGGAACATCAACAATTCCGGCAATATTGTGCAGATTCAAAGAAGACTTTCCTCCCCTTGGATAAGAAACAGGCTCGGGGTGTCAAATTGATGGATATCCTTCGAAAGAACAAGGCGCCTTTGACTGCGTATGATGATGTGTTGACATGGCACTTGGATAAACTGGAGCCCGATTGGGTGACGAAAGCTTGGTGAGGTTCCGGAGTATTTGAGCCGGAAAAAGTTGATGAGCTTCCTCATGACAAGATACAACATGGGGGCAAATTCCCTTTCACAAAAACCTTGTGCTTCCACATTCAGGTGCTAACATCAAGGTGGTGTGCCACGATGCTCGCCATTGTGTGTGGCAATTGCTTCCGATCCACGCCTCAAGGACGACGATTTTCTGCTTTTTCGATAACGACCCACTAGCTCCACCACCTAAAACGAGTACCAAAATCAAGTCAGTTGTGCACTACGCTAAAAGCTAGTGTAAAGATCTTTCGAGTGTTTAGTGTTTTGAGTTTGAGAGAATGAAAGTTATGAGAGGATTTGAAAGCTATGAAAACTAATCAACGAGAGAGATCCACAATCAAAGGATCGTAGATCTGAACTCCCCGGGAGACTGTAGAGTGTGATAGAGTAGGTTTCGGTAGCAATCTACTCAATCCACGATCCAAAAACGGAACGCGTGAAGATTCTCTAGCATTTATCTAGTAGCGTGGATCTCTCCACGCCAGCTAAATATCTAGCGCGATGTTTCACCATCGACCTAGTATGACTAGCGGTCATGAGAACCCTGTCTCAATGACTATTCACGAAAGACTCAGTCATGAGTCGAACTCAAACCCTATCTAGGATCGAGTCGCGAATAAGGCTAAGAGCCGTGTATTGCATTCGCCCCCTGACAAGGGTCACGGAAGGCACGACATCAGTCGGACAAGGAGAACATATGAATTAAAGTGCGGGGCACTCTCCGGAGATTGGATGTAGACATGTGCGTCGCACGATGCAATCTACAAGGGGATCAGCCTGTATGGGTGTAAATACCTTATGTTCAAGTCTGGTAGACTGTGCCGCTATTGCGGTAGTATGTCGAGCCGTACAGTGCCATTGTTATTGACTCGGTCTGTGTGGTAAGGACCTTGGTCGTTGGCTGACCGTATTAACGGTTCTGATACTGATGAATCATCATAGTATGTTTACATGGTGTTGATGAGGGACACGTGTCGTTTCTCCTTATCGGTGTTTTTCTGATAAGTCGTTGGCGACGTTCCTTGATGTATTTCCGGTTTGCTTTGAAACGGATGTGGTGAAGCTTGTCACGAATGACGCGCGAACTTGCGACGAAGTCCATGTTCATCCCGGAGAGTCTTCTCGACCTCTACGCGGGATTCACGTTCTCTGTCCATGACGACCGGTCATGGATACTGGGTAACCCACTCTGGTTCAGAACGATGGTTACTCCGTCTGGTGTCTTGAGCAGCCCTTGTAGTTCATTGGTCCAATGAATCTACGAAGTTACTTCTTGTTGGTAGGAAGAGGATAGCTTGGATCGCATCTGTTATCGTTTTAGTTAAGAGTTGGCTCCTTCTCGAGAAGTCCAATTGTCTAGATACTCCAGTTCTCCTATCGAGGAAGGCCTTGGTAGTGTTGATTTCAATCCCGACTTCTTGGAGTCTTTGGGGAAAGGTCATCCTACTGTTCAACGCGATCTGCGAGATCGACGTCCGTTAGGATGAGTTGATCATCAACGTATGCACGGACATTTTCTAAGTCATGCATGCGTGCTTTCATCTTCCTTTGGAAGATGTCGGGACTATTACATAGGCCCATTGGCAACCTCTGGTACTCGTGCCTTCCCTTCGGGAGTGCAATGGCATATGCAATGGCATAGTGTTTGCTTCGAGTGAGGTGACAGCTCGATGTGGTATTGTCCCTGTTCAGGTCTAGCTGGTAGCGCACTTGAATCCTCTGGGTTCAAGGCATGTCCTGTATCTTTGGATAGGATAAGGCTT